ACAAATCAGGTATTTTGATATTTATAGTTTTGCCTAGTATAAGTTCCTATAAAAACCTTTGGTTTGGGTGCCTTTATTAGGTATTAGCCAGCACTCTAATTAGCCTGTTTTGAAACCATTAGCAAACCTTTCTGGATACTTCACCTAGATCCCACCTATAGCATGCGAGAGAACCCGGTATCAGTGGTTCAGTGGTAGAAACCTCGCTTTCTGCGCGGGAGACTCAGGTTCGATTCCCAGCCCATCCATAGGATGTTTGCTTTCATTTCTTTGGGGTTTTTATATTTTTATCCCACAAAATTAAACTGCATAGGCAAATAGCATGGTTTAGGAGTTTTGATTGCTAGTGCTGCAGAGCTTGCATTCAACAACCACTGTCTCTGAAAGGGGGAGTGTCTCCGCGGGGTTTCCGGTTTAGACTATTTGGACCTAAGACCATAGTTACTTTCGGCCTTTCCCCTGGAGGACCCACGGGACCCAAAGAGCCACCAGGTCACGGAGGCCCGTGGTGGACCTTGGGTCGGCCGCGGGGCCACGTCTCACCACGGAGCCCGGCAGACACCCCAGTGGCCGGGGCGGCGTCGGCGGCCCAAGGAAGGCGGAGGCTGGTGGAGAGGGACCAGCGTGGACGCTTGGGGAGCTGCGGCCAGAGGCCCCTCGCTCGCGCCACGGCGCCGCACTCCGGCAACCCAGTCGGTCCCCGTGGTCCGCCGCGGCGGCCTGCGCTCCTCCCGCGGGCGCCTCGCGGTTCCGGGGAAGGGGAAGGAGGCCGCGTGCCGCGCGATGCGCCTCAACAGGTGTTAGCCCGAAGAGTGTTATTTGTAAAAAGGGAAAGGGAACTAAAGACTCTGGGAACTGTTGGCCCGGGTTTGTTTTCTAGCTTTTGGGCGCTCCTTGGGAAGGATTCCGATTTGAGGGTGGTAGGGGCGTGACTGCGTTAGACCCTCCGGGTGATTAATTTTCATCTAAGAATAGCTTAAAATTTAAGTTTTTAAAACCTATTTTCAAGTCAGCAAAATTTCTAGTTTAATAATTTATTCATGTTCAAGGGCTTTCTTATTCTGGCATTATGTCTTTCTACATTTTCTTGTAAACTGATGGTGATTTTTTTTAAGTCCTTACCTGGCAAGATTGTGTTGAAATCATCAGGGTGGTTTTACTCTTTTAACTTGTTAGGGAATCTCTGTATTTGTTGAATAAACATTGTAATGTGATATATAATTCTCGTTTTTTAAGAACAGAATTTTTAAGAACAGAGAAAAACGAAAATTCTCGTTTTTCTCTGAACAGAAGCCAGGCTTTAGAGAGAACAATCTAGGGGCCTTGATCTTATTATAAAAAGGAAAATTATAAGTTACTTAGGTGATGAGGCACACTGAAAGGGCTCAGCAGGTACCTGAGATTGACCCTAGATGATCAACTTCAAAACAATACCATAGTAAACCTATTAGACTTTAAAGGTAAAGAAAACATCCTGAGGTTCTCCAGGTAAAACTATGAAATAAGTTACAAATGCAACAGAATTAGATGAGCATTAGCATAGAAAGCAAGGCAACAGTGAAGCAGCATTTTCAAGAAACTGATGTAAAGAAAGTGCAAATTACAGATTTATATGCAGCCAACCTCCTTTTCAATGTTCAAGGTATAGGAGAATGGCTCTGCTATGCACTCCGGTGAGCTTGTACTTCTCTACATGGGCCACAGAGGCAAGGTTCAACTGTGTTTGACCCAGTTCTTGGCTGAATAGCCCCTTGGAACATGGAAAGATAGTCTTGTAAGGTGCTATTATATGGATATTGTATGGATTAATCTCCTGCGGTAGATTGCCTGTCCTGGGGCAGGCTACAAGTAGGCAGTTTCTCACCTGTCTCCCTGGCGCTGGTGAGACCTGGAAATTTCCACCTTGCCTCCACCCCCTAGGATGTAACTACAAGCTATAAAACGACTTGGCAGCAATATGGAATTGGCTCCTTCATGACAGAGCAAGCCACTTGTGTTTTCTTGTCATCTGATCCCTCCAGTGTGGTGTCATGCTGTGGGATTATGGATGTGGGGAGCTGACAACACACTACACTTGCTTATGCTGTGTGTCTAAGTAATAACTACTTCAGTTCATTTGAGGTTTGGTCTCCTTACTGGTCAATTCTACAGAAGTGTGACAAGCACACCTAGCAGCTGCTAATATACTACTGGCTAGGGACTGCTATACAGCTTGACAAATGTGGTATTCAGTGTGGGGCCAGGAAGGTCACAGTGCTTTCTCAGAGAAAAGACAGAAGGGAGCACATGGGCCAGGTTAGGGGATATGAGAAGGCTTCCCAGGATGATCTCCCCCAAGTGGTGGTTATGAGCCAGGGGAGTTAAGGGCCTTTTGACTGTCCATATGTTCATGGAGAATTGGAGGTTCAGCAGTGACAAGGAAGGATTGAAAGCAGCCACCTAAATGGTGCTTTAGCTGTTGCTAAAAGTTCGTTGAGACTGAGTGGATGACCTCTTAAAACCAAAACAAGTACATGGCTGTGCTTACTGTATGGTACCGCTCCCTCCATGGCCCCCACTCCATCTGTCTCTTCCCCTTATCCTGACCTTAGGTAATAAGAAGATTCCCCACTGCTCCAAGGGGCCTCACAGACTAGTCACACCTCCTTGCTCTTCCTGAGCTCTTTGTCAAGGAGATAAAATGGTCTCCTGGCTGCTGTGTAACCCGTCAAGTGCAAGTGTTCAACTCCTTGGTCTGTGTTCCTGAGAGAGTGTGTAAATTCAAATGACAGAGTGTGGGTAAAACTTGTGGTAAAGAGAAAAAGAAGTTAAAGTTAAGAAACAGACCTCTGTGCCAAATTAATGTATAGTTGTGAAAATGTATAATTGAAATCAATGAGTTGCCTGCTTATACTACGAATGCTCTTAAAGTGTTAGAGGAGATTCTTCTGTTCAGGGCACTGTCCTGCGTAAAGGGCAAATGGGACAAACTCGCCTGACATTTACCACCAATGGGTGGCTCAAAATTTAGCATGAGTGCCTAAACCTTCTGATGGCCAAAGTTTGACTGTACAAATTGGCAAGTCAATTGATTGGCAAGTCAAAAATTTTAATCTAAACAGCTCTGATTGCAGTGCTAACGGATCTCTGCCAGCAAGAGTGACTGATAAACCTCACCAATTTTCAGTAGCTTGCTTGCCAACTCAAGTTTCTTGGGACTATGTAGATAAATCCTTCTGGCAATGCTCAATCCTTCTGGCAGCCAAAAGGAAAAAACCAAACAAACAAAAACCCTGTTTTTTCTCACAAGAACTCTTTATTTCTGATACAGAAGCCACCACTGCACACTAAACTTGTAAGTCCTGCCAAAGTTTGACCTTTTTGTTTTACAGTAAAAATTGTTCTTCCACTGTCCTCGGGCCTCCATACTTTTTGATGAGAAATCTACACTCTGGTTAAAATTTGAAAAGTACCGAAATAACATTAAAGTAATAATCTCCATTGCCTCCAAACTGAACTCTCCAAAATAAGCAGTATTAAAACATGGTGAGTATAATTTCAAAAATGATGAAATTAGAGCACTAACTGGCCGTGTTTGGCCAGAAGACCAAAGAATTCCCAAATCTCATTCTGCCAATAACCTCGGTTCCCTGGTGGATGCAAGGGTTCCTGAAGGAGATGTGCACACAAAGAAAAGTGGCAACATGTATAATATCACAATTTGCTATTTGTAGGGCTTGTGTCACAGTAGAGGGAATCCAAGTAAACTGGTCAATTCAAGGTCTTAAGAGGATTTTCCTCTGTCTAAGCACAAAATAACCTTACCCAAACTTCCCCAAATGAATCCAATGGTACAAGTCCTCTGAGAGGAAAGTGACAGAAAAAAAAAAAGGCAGATAGATGCAGGGTTGGAAGTTCCCCTTGTCACCAGCCAGCTGACAGTTTTGATGCTCAGGTAGAAAAAGGGCAGCAGTAACCACACTCTTTTGTATGATGTTTTATTATAGTGCGTCCTCAACCAGTAGAAAAGGAAGCTCAATATCTGTCCTGGTATGTGAAGAATGAAAAGAGTGTTTGCTCCTCCACTGGGTATTAAGAGTTGGGAAAGAGAGAAAGCAGATAATTTCCCCTTTTCTACATGAATATTTCCCTTTGCTTTTCTGATCTCATTCCAAGTAACAATAAGAGACATATATTAGGTAAGTCCTTCAAAAAGCCATTCCCCCCGTCATGGTCACTCCTGTGTATCATACTGGGCGAGGAAATGGGCAACAACTGGCCAAGGTAGGCCATTTTACTATTATAGCGTAATCCTCTAAAGTATGTGAGAACATGGCATAAATTCAGTTAATCTCAGGGCTACACTAAGAGGTTACACCTTCCCGTTATACTTCATTTTTTGAATTATAAATAGCTGCAGTATGGGGCACCTGGGTGGCTCAGTTGGTTAAGCAACTGCCTTCAGCTCAGGTCATGATCCTGGAATCCCGGGATCGAGTCCCACATCGGACTCCCGGCTCAGCAGCGAGTCTGCTTCTCCCTCTGACCCTCTTCCCTCTCGTGCTCTCTATCTCTCATTCTCTCTCTCTCAAATAAATATATAAAATCTTTAAAAAAAAAAAATAAATAGCTGCAGTATGGTATGTATTACTGCATAGTTGAACATAACTCATCAGGTAGTGTTACATAGTGTGCAACACGACAGCATAAGCCAACTATAGCAACGTGAATAATGTAAGATATGAAATTTTATTATTAAATTTTATTTTTATTATAATTTATTATATTATTAACTTTTATTATCACTAAATTTCCTTTAGAGAAATAAAAATATAGAAAAATTACTTATCCATTAAAGCAAATTCCCTCCACTAATGTTCTCATCAAAACAGATAAAGTGGGGGCCCCTGGTTGGCTCAGCCAGAAAAGTAAGTGACTCTTGACCTCAGGGTCCTCAGTTTGAGCCCCCCACGGGGTGTCAAAATTACTAAAAGAAATAAATAGAAAGGGTGAATACTTACCATTTACGTCGACATGGATGGAACTGGAGGGTATTATATGGAACTGGAGTGAAAATAAGTCAATCAGAGAAAAACAATTATATGATTTCACTCATATGTGGAATATAAGAAATAGTGCAGAGGATCATAGGGGAACGGAGGGAAAACTGAGTGGGAAGTTATGAGAGGGAGACAAACCATGAGAGACTCTTAACCATAGGAAACAAACTGAGGGTTGCTGGAGGGGAAGTGGGTGGGGGGATGGGGTAATTGGGTGATGGGCATTAAAGAGGGCACGTGGTGTGATGAGCAACAGATGAATTATTAAATTCTACATCTAAACAAGTATGTTGGCTAATTTAACTTAAATTTAAACAATAAACAAAATTAAAAAAATAAAATAACTCTTATCTTCCGTCTTCTTTTTAATTTTTTTGAGAGAGAGAGCTCGAGCAGAGAGTTGGGGGTGAGCAATAGGAAGGGCAGAGGAGGAGGGAGAGAGAGAATCTTAACCAGGATCCAGACCCAGCAGATAGCCCTACGCAGGGCTGGATCCCACTACCCTGAGATCATGACCCAAGCAGAAATCAAGAGTGGCATGCTTAACCAACTGAGCCACCCTGGTGCCCCTAACTCTTACCTTCCTTTAAAAAAAAAAATAAAGTGGTCATCAAAATGAAAATTAAATTATTGAAACAACTTCTCTCTGGTTTTTCAAAATCTGCTCTGCTTCCAACCACTGTTAGGTCTTCAGAAACTGTTACCTTCATTTCTTGTGTTCATTTATTTCTGCCAACACTTCCAAAGATGGATTTAGGGACCCTCTTGTGCACCACATTCCCGAAGTTCCTAAAGATGAAGTATGCCCATGAAACTATTCAAGCAACAGCTCCATATCCATAAATTTAGAATCGGGGAGACCACTGCAAACAAAAAGGCCAGGCTTACATTTTTACTGCAACTAATCTTACGTGTAAGAAAAGGTAAACACCGGAGCAGAACATGGAGTCTTCAGTTCAAGACTGCAGAGAAACTAGGCAGTTCTTCCAGTTTATTTGTCCCTTGTGGACTCAAAGTCTATGGGAAAATTAACTATGAAGAGGTTGGCTGGTGGTAAATAAAGTTTGAGATTATATTTAAAAGACTGATCATTTATAGTGTTAGTTTTAAATGGTGGGGGAATGAAGTCTCATACAGGTTTTGGGCAATTAATTGGTGCTTATAGGCTGGTGGGTAGTGTATAGGAGTTTGAAATTCACACTCCATTTCACCTAGCAGTTCTACCTTCTGGAATGTATCCTCAATAAATAGTTAACTCAATTTTCCCGCCAGTCTTGGAAAAGGGAAAAACAAACCAAACAACAGCAAAACACAACACGCTCAGTGCACTCAAACAACCCATTCCCTGACCGGGAATCGAACCCGGGCCGCGGCGGTGAAAGCGCCGAATCCTAGCCACTAGACCACCAGGGAACCACAGGTCAGCTTCTCTTTAAAAGATCCTCTGACAAGAGTTAGCCCCCTGGCTTGCTCTCTAGAAAGTCCCCTGGGTCTGCTTTTACCGTGTCTCCCGCTCTTTTAAGGAACTGTCCCCTAAGGCCATTCCCTACCCGCTTTCTCAAAGAATTCCACAGGAAAGACCGAGAGCTCGGCGGGACAGCGGTCCCGCCCCGAGGCCCGCCGGGTCCACGAGAGTTGGCACCAGTCGCCCGGCCGGGCCGCCGCTCAGAGTTGCCCTGGAGACGCGCCTTCGCGAGGCGGCCGCGTGTGGACACGACGTCGCCGGGAGGACGGGGGAGGGGGAGGCGCCCGGCTTCAGACGCCGGGGTCCCCAACATCACCCGGCGGACTCCGGGGGACGCAGCAGCCGAGGCGGCGCGGACCGAGACCGCTTTCGGGAAGGTTCGGCGGCCCCGAACTGGACCCCGGGTCTTCCCCCTACGACCCGCCGCCCCGCGCTTCCACCCTACCTCCGCCGCGGCTCTGCACGCTCGGGCCCCAACTGTTCTCTTGGACGCCGGCCTTGCTCCCGCCACACAGCCGCTCGGTCGGAAACTCGTGTGTCTTCTTTCGTTGGCCGCGGCCCTGGAGCCACGCTTCTCCTTGCGGCCCGCTTTCGGCAAACGACTCCCCCGGTACAGGCGGCGAGAAGGACTCCACTCGCGAGCCCCGCTCCGCTAACGCTTCAGGCTTTGGGACCGTTAACCTCGGGACCGGGCCTGGGCCGCCGTGGACACTCTCCCTGCGCTCTGCGCGTCAAACTAGCCTCTTCCGCGCCCGGCCTCCAGGGGCAGGGGCAGCGCCGGGCCCCCTCAGCGCGGCCCCTCTGGCCGGTGCGAGCCCTGCGCCCCTGCGTGCGGCCGGCGGACCAGCTCCGGGCGGCGTCGATTCAGTGCGTCGGGGCCGGCGACGCGCAGGTGCGCGATGCGCGCGGACGCGGGCGGCGAACTCGCGGCCCCCCCGCCCCCGCTGCCCTCGCGGCCCCGCAGCCCGCCCCCGCGGGCCCTAACGTCCCGGCCCGACCGAGCTGCCAGGACGCCCAGGCGGGAGGGACCGGGAGGAGAAGGGCAGCCTCCCCTCTCGGTCCTGCCCAGTATTAGGTTCCCAGACGCTCTGGAAGAGACAGAGAGGGAGAGGTGGAAATAGAGCCAAGGGAAGGGAAGAACTCCGTGCGATTTTCCTCATCTGAAAACCGCATGAAGAGGAAATCGGGGTCCTGGCGCTGGTGAAGGTGAGTCGAGTTCCCGTCTTCAGTGGGAGCCAAAGTCTCGGCCTGGCTACCAGTGAGTAAGCACCCCTGTTCCTTTGGCATTTGAACGTCTCCCCCTGGGCTTTCTGTGGATTCTAAGGATGCAACTGGTTAAGTTTATTTTTTTAATGCACTTACTTGAAGTAAAAGTACTTTAAAATCTCTTAGCAAAGGAAATGGTTTCTGGTTCTTTTTGAACGAGGTCTTCCAGGGTTGGGGGAAACTAGAGAAAGCAACTACAGTTGAGAATCACACTTACCCAGGAACTGCACTTCAGCCAGGTGGGTTTGTCTCTTAGGCTGGGCCCATTTTATTTTAAATGCACTGTTGGTTGAATTTAAGCTGAATTGAGGACGTTCGTGATAAATAATTTAATTATAGTTTTTAATTTAAGTACACATTTTAAAAGTCATAGAACAAGCACTTGAAGCCTACCATTTTTACAAAAATGGGAAAGAAAGATGATGTATAAATGAGAAAGCATCATAAAATGGCCTTTAAATATTGGTTGTTTCCACTAACGTTCCCTCCCCCTTGGATGGGTAACCTCTAATTCCTCTTTCTACAAAATCTGACAATCACTGCAAGACCCAGTATTCGACTTTCTAGTTCCAACCTACTCTTCCTTACACCTTTTCTCAGCGTCTCCCCCTCATCTTTTCTAATACAATAAAACTCAATTCTTACTCAGCCTCCAACTTCAGCCTCACAGTCAACTATCTGTCCAGTAAGTTAGAGACCCTCCCTGGACTTTATCTCCCTACAGAGAACAGAGAATTCCAAACCAAATGTTGTATTCATGGTCATAAATAATAGAAAATTTTGTTCTAGCCAAAGGCCTAGAAAATGAACTTTTTTTTCAATAAAAATCTTGATTCATGGTTGAGTGTTGCAGACATTTCATCTCTCCATCAGCTCTAAAGGTAACTGGAGATTTATTTTTTCTGGAAGCTGCAATAGAGGATCTTTGGCTAAGGGATCAGACATAATATGTGAAGGCATAAGTCTTACAATGAAATGAGAGATGTTAAGGGACCACAGATCTTGATTTGTATGGTGGCTACTTTGGTATGTACATATTTCAAACTGTATTGAGCTGTGTGAAAAAGTCAAGCCTAGAAGACTTGAAGACTTTACTATTAAGCTGTTTATTACTATAAACAAGTGTTTATAGTAATATAACTATAACTATAACTATATCTATAACTATATATATATACCGGCCCAGGCCCGGTCCCGAGGTTAAAGGTCCCAAAGCCTGAATATATATATATTCAATATATAGTGTGGGAGTGGCAGAAGGATACATGTATATATAAATAGAACTGAATTGAGACACCTAAAATAGACCCACCTCTGGTCAAATTATTTTCCAAAAAGAGACACTAAAGCAATTCAGTGGGGAAAGGACTATCATTTCAACAAATAGCATTGGAACAACTAGATATCTACTAGTGAAAAAACCTACAGTCCCTACCTTACTATATACGTGAAAGCTAATTTGAGTTGGATCGTAGACCAAATGAAACACACTACAACTACAGAGTTTTAGAAGAAAATATATGAGAATATTCTTATGACCCAGTGGTAGGCAAAGTAAATATTACACAAAAAAAAGTAAAAAGAGAAATGATAAGTTAGACTTTTACACCATTAAATATTAAAATGATAAATTAGATTTTAAAATATTAAACTAATATTAGTCTAATCAAGTATTAAATTAAACTTTAATAATATTTATACTTAAAATATTAAAATTATAAAATAATAAAAATATTAAAAATGTCTTCTCATTAAAGATACCATTCAGTGAAAAGGCAAATCACAGACTGAGAAAAAATATTCACAAAACATATCTGACAAAGACCCTATCTCCAGAATTTAAAATGACCTCCTATAATCAATATTAAAAACTGAAACACCCATTTTTTAAAATGGGCAAAAGCTTAAACAGACATTTCAGAGAGAAAGATATGGCCAGTAAGCACATAAAAGAGTGCTCAATATCATTAGTTGTTAGGGAAATAGATATTAAAACTGCATTGAGATACCACTGCACCCAGTAGCATGGCTAAAATTATAAAGCCTGAAAACACCAAATCTTGGTGAAGATGTGGAACAACCAGAACTCTCACACATTTTTAGTGGGAATGTGCTATAACCATTTTGGTTTTACAGTTTATCATACATTTAAACATAAATATACACCAACATCCCTTTATTCCCATAAATTCTTCACCTAGATATTCTTCCAAGAGAACTGAAAACATATGTCCAAACCGAAAAAATTATAACAAGAATGTTCATAATGTTTTTATTCACAATAGCCCAAACTAGAAACTACTCAAGTGTCCATTATCAGGACACTGGTAAACAGACTGTGGTATACCCATATAATGGGATACTATTCATCAATAAAAAGGCATGAGCTTTTGATATACTCCACAATATAAATAAAACTCAGAGGCATTATGCAGAATACAGCAGCATACACACTCCGTAATTCCATTTACAAGAATTTCTAGAAGCAAAACTAAAGTGCAAAATATCAGCACAATGATTTTCAAAAATAATGAAGAGAATAATGACAATGAGGATGATGATTCTACTGATTATGATATTACTGAGTAGCTACTAAATTCAGGCACAGCCAACAACGACAGAATGAAGTAGCTACTCTTATTATCCCCATTTTACAGAAGAAAGAATTGAGGCACATAAAGTTTAAGTTACTTCTCCAAGGCCACACAAGGGCAGAATCAGATTTATAAACCAGAGCCTGTGCTCCTGAGCACAGATTGATCAGATCTTTCTTCTCAGTTTCTGGTATTTCTGGTTTTCTCAGATGTAGGGGTGAGAAGAGAAGAGAAAAGGAAAGAGAGGGCAAAAGGAGGCAGGAGGGATAGAAACACAAAGATCTGTAGTCAACAAAGAGCAGAGCAGGAAACTATTATGAATGTTTTTACAGCAAAGGTTATAAAAATTTCTGGGAGGTTGGTGATCTGCAAGCAAGTCAAAGATTCTTTCGCCAAAGTGGCTAAGTATTGTGCTGAGGTCAGGAAATTAATCACAAATTTTAAAGCTGAAAACTAAAACATTAAAGTTTCTAGAAGAAAATGTAGGAAAATGTATTTACAGTCTTGGGCAGGAGAGATGTCTCAGAGTAAGATACCTTAACAATAAAAGAAAAAATAAATCAGATTCCATCAAAATTAATAACTTCTGTTCATCAAAAATCACCATAAGAAAGTAAAAAGGCAATCCATAGAGTAAGAAAAGATATTTGCAATATTCTTATCTGAACATGACTTAAATATTGAATGGACAGAGAACTTTTTAGAAATCAATAATAAAAGCC